CAATGAAAGATTGTAGGAAAACAAAACATGTATATATAGAACTAAAAAATAAAAACAATCTCTCCACCCAGATATTAGAAAACGAAGAATACAATTAGCAAATAATATAGTTTAGAAGACAGATTAACTTTAAGCAATAAAACTTTCAGAAAATACAGAAGAAGGGCCCAGCACAGTAGCCTAGCGGCTAAAGTCCTTGCCTTGCACATGCAGGGATCCCATATGGGCACCAGTTCTAATCCCAGCAGGCCCGCTTCCCATCCAGCTCCCTGCTTGTGGCCTAGGAAAGCAGGAGAGGACAGCCCAAAGCCTTGGGACCCTGCACCTGTGCATGGGAGATCCGGAAGAGGCTCTGGGATCCTGGCTTCGGGATCGGCGCAGCTCAGGCTATTGCAGCCACTTATAGAGTGAATCAACAGACAGAGGATCTTCCTCTCTGTCTCTCCTCCTCTCTGTATATCTAACTTTCCAATAAAAGTAAAATAAATCTCTAAAAAAATGCAAAAGAAAAATGTTAAATAATAAATCACTAAATAAGAGATAGCTTTAACAGTAAAATTCGGAATATGTGAATATATTTGTATTTAATAAGAACGAATTTAATGCTAATATTAACCCATAAGGTGATATCTGAATGTAATTTATGATTTTCATCCAAAAATAAGGTGTTTCATTTAATTTAGTTGATAGACTTAAATGAATTAACAAATAAAAACACAAAATTTACAATTACCCCAAATTCAAGGGAACATATAACAACACAGACATCACAAAACATACATTAATGAAAAGATAGTTTAAGATTTTTAAAGAAGAAAACATGTAGAGATAGACACGTTTGTAAATGTAGGTGTGTAGATGCTTGTAAAATTAGGACCACTCTTCATTGCAGCACTGGGCCAAAACTCGATACTGCTTAAGCTTCCAGACTAGCCCTTCCATGGCATCATGCCCTGGCATAGTTAAGATGGCAACAACTTGGAAAATCTGCTGCTGTTCATTTTGCAGCCTGAATATCCCTAAGCACATACATACGCTGATTTCTCGCTGTGACAGAACTTGAATGCAGTGGGGACCAAGATCTCTGCTTTCCTTGGTCTGCAGAGGCAGGGCTGGCCCTTGGTGAAGTCTCATGCCACCAGATGATGGGAACAGCCTAGTGTGCCAGGCATGCTGAGGCACCTGCTGTGTGCTAACCCTGAGGGGCTGGGAGTACCAGCAGCATGTCTCCCACTTCCCTGCTCTCCACACCACTTCCTCAACCCATGCCTTCCCCCCCACACCCGACCTCAACGTGGAGACACTGGCTCCCTCACTGGGTCTTTGTGAGCACTGGGCAATAAGCTAAAATTTTCTGCAGGGCATAATGGTTTAGATAACGATCAAGTGTTAGTGTGTCTAGAACTGTGTGCAAGACCCCTACCTGCGAGGGAAAGGGAGACAGCTAGGAGATTACAATTGAGTCAGCACTCCACCAACCCGGGAAAGCTGAGGTCTGAAAGAATATACCTGCTCCCCAAAGATTAGAGTCCAGCACAACCCAAACTGGCCTCTCTGTGTCTCCAGTACCAGTCTCTCGGCTTCTTACTGCACATCCAGCAACATCCAGTCCATGCTTTGCCGACCAGGGATCCTCACCCAAACAAAGCTAATGTCTGAAAACAGTTGTCCAGCCCCAACAGGTGACCCCAGACTCATCAGCTGACAGGTGTCAGCAGTGTGCCAGGATGAAGGGTCTCCAGAGCCAGCCTCTCAGCTGCTCACCACCAATCCTCAGCACCCTGGCCTCCCAACTGCTTTGCAAGTAGGTGCTGTGGCACCAGAGCCTTTTTTGGAGGGCAGGGGTTTGAAGTGTGTCTGATTTGGCACAGGAGTCCGGGTGAACCTGTGGGCATATCCTCTGTTGATGGCTTGGACTAGGCCTGGTGTCCAGATCCTGGAGGTGAAAGGGATGGGGTGGGCCAAGATCCTAAGAAAGGGTGCAGCTTCCCAACAGAGGAGTCCCTTGGCAGAGACCCTTTGGTCTGCAAGCTAGCCTAGCATCTGTAACAGCCCAACTGCAGACCACTCTGCCAGCCCCTCTTGGGAGCCCGGGGCCTCTAAGGGATTTGCCTGTGCTCCCTCCTCACTGCTGTGCATCCTGGCCTTAAGGCAGGAAAGAGCTGTTTGCTAGGTGGAGGCAGGATTTCGATCCGGGGCTCCTAGGAGAGCTCTACAAACCCACAGGCTACCTTTGGCATCTTGTTTCATCCAAGACATACACAACTGTGAATGACGTGATGTATGCTCCATCCTTTGAGACACGCTCAGAACACACGCTCAGGCATTCATGACATTCCCCTAGACCATTTCAAGGGTTCTAAAGCCACTTTCAACACAGATGATATCAAACGGGTTGAAGAAAGAGAACTCACGCGTGGTTAGGTGGCCCGGCCCAGTCAGTGATGATGGCTTTTTCTGATGGGCCAACGGTGGTGGATCTTCCTCGGAGGTCATGCCGAGGGGATGAGAATGGGCTGGGAAGAGCCTGCCTTCCTCATTCCACCCCTGGCAACATCACAGATGAGCACAGGCAAAATTCTAGAACCTTACTGATGGAGGCTAGCAAAGGCTGTCTCTCGTTTTGTGGATCCTCAAGGGGGCACTTTGCTTTTGTGTCCCACTCTCCTTTCTCAACTTTTAGAACAAAGAGCACACTTAGAAAGCTGTTGGGTGCCAACTCCATGTGCTCCAGGCCATGGGAGACTCCACATATGTCTTCTCCACAGGGGCTGCGACCCTCATGGTCCCTTTTGGCCTGTGCTCTCACTGAAAGCCTGCAGAGCTGGGGCAGCTCCAATGACTCCTCTACTAGGAAGGAAAAACTAAAATCGCAGCCTTGAAATTTCTTCCTGTATGGAGGGATGGGGACCCTAGGGACATGGGGCTGTCACAGCTGCAATGACAGGGCGCTTGGACAACACGGCCCACCTTAACTGAGGCTGGGGCTTGCGGTCTTCTGGGGCTCTGTGCACAGGAAGCAGATGGCACATGGAGCCAGGGCCTCCCATGGAACTATGTAGAGGGTTTGGAGAGAAGCGAGATGTGGTTTGGTTGGTTGCAGTAGCTTGAGGGAGTATTGGTCCTGGGAGTAGAAGGAGGATCTTGTGCAGACAGAATACAGGGCTAGGATGGAAGCACAGGGCAGCTGGTAGGCTAAGGACCCAGGCGCTATGGAAGAGGGTGGCATTTCCCATGGTGGGGGCCCCCTCCCCTCAAGTATCCTGGCCTCATCCGTCGCTGCCCCTTGAAACTTTCCCTTAGCAGGCAACAGTGTTTTGATAGGTCTGATAAGCTAGTTGTTGAAGTATGCATCAGCACAGCCTTGTAAGAGAATGATTTGGCTCATATGAAGCAAAATTGAAAATGATCAGAGATTTTATCCCAGGAATCCGAGTGAGAAATCTATCTCATGAACACTCTTTATGTCCAAAGATGGTTGAGTAACAGCCTTTGGGAGAATAAAGCCCATCGGAGGCAGGTCAGTCATGATAACCCACCTGTCAGTACACCGTGGCTGAGAGCTGCGGAGCCAAACACGGACCGAACAGCCAGAGCTAGCCTCCATGGATGCTGATAAGCAAGGGGGCAGAGAAAACTCTGCCTGGGATGTAATCCCATATGTGATCGGCTAAACAAAAGCCATAGAAGCAGATAGGCATGAGCTGAATGTTTCTAGAAGATTCTAGAAACTGTGACCAGGATATTTCTTGAGAAGGGAAATACTTTGGAGACATGAGGATGCTCCAAAAAGCTGATGAAAAGTGAATTAAAGGTTAAGTTTAGAGGCCAGAGCATTGGTTCAGAGCATTGGCTAATTCTTTGCCTCCAAGCATGGCATTCCACGTGGACACTGGTTTGTGTCCTGGCTGCTTCATTTTCCCATCCAGCTCCCTGCATGAGGCCTGGGAAATCAGCAGAGGATGACCCAAAGCCTCAGGACCCTGCACCTGCATGGGAGACCCACAAAAAGCTCCTGGCTTTGGATCGGCTCAGCTCCAGCCTTTGTGGCCATTGGAGGAGTGAACCAGCAAAGAGCAAGATCTTCCTCTCTGTCTCTCTTTCTGTCTATAAATCTGAATTTCTAATAAAAATAATTTTTAAGAGATAAGTTTTCTACATGAAACAGTTTTTGAAAACGGTGCCTACAAAGGGGGTCTTCAAAAAGTTCATGAAAGATGGTGTATAATAAAAACAATTACAATGGGTTTCAAATTATTTTGCACCACAATAAACTCATCTTTCAATTTTTCATGAAGTTTTTGTAAAGGTTTACTTATGTATGCATTTGAAAGGCAGTGTTACAGAGAGCAAGCGAGAGAGAGAGAGAGTGAGAGAAAGCAATCTCCCACCTCTGGTTCACTCCCTAAATGGTTGCAACAGACAGGACTGGGCCAGACCAATAACTCCATCTGCGGCTCCCACAAAGATTTGGGGGCCAAAAGGCCTTGGATCATCTTCAGCCGCTTTCCCAAGCACATTACAAAGCAGCTGGGTGGGAAGGGAGCAGCGGGGACTCGAATAGGCTCCCATACAGGATGCTGGCATCACAAGTAGCAGCTTAACCTGCGATGCCAGAACACCAGCCCCTTTGTGAAATTTTTGAAGTGGCATTGCACTTCACAGGTGATGGGGTTGGGGAGGGGATGCAACACAAAAGGCAAAGTCATGGTCCCCAGACCCACTGGGCTTGGCTCCAGGACTTCTGCCCAGGCTGCCCCAAAGGGAGCGTCTACTCAGGGATCCTGAACAGGGACAGTGAGTACAAAACCCTGACCTTGAGTGAGACTGGGTCAGGGCAAGAAGGACATGGGCCATGACCCTGGTTCACAGCACCACTGAGTGCTCTAGGGAACTTCACACTCTCCTGAATGCCCTGACCTCACAGAAAGCCTGCTGTGTCCCCCTTCTTGTCCATGCCACAGGCATGCCGGTCGCCATCACGGTTTTCTGTCCCACAGGAAACACTCCGGGTTCGACAGGACCATGCTGCAGAGGTGGCAGGTACGATGGCTGTCCTGGAAGGGACCCCCTGGGAATGCAGAAGGGCTGGGGTCCTGGGGTAGAGGGAGGGAGTGTGGAGAGTCATCTGGAAGGAAGCTTTTTCTGTTTAACTGAGCAAAATAGCTCATCTCTTTCCCCGACTGGAACTCGTGACTGACAGTTGTTTTTGCACTGGGGTCAGAGCTGGTGTGTGTGTGTGTGTGTGTGCGCACGCACTGGGGGTGACTCCACGTACATGCATGCTTCCTATGCATGAAGATAAGCACACATGTTCTCTCACATACATGCGTGCACACCTTGCCTCTCTCAGACATACATGTTCTCTCTCACATGCATGAATACACTCTGACATGCACATGCATGCACCATACACATAATTTTTCTTTTTTTACAAACATGCACACACATACACCCAGACACACATGCATGCGCACTCAGATACATGAGTTCATCCACACTGTCTCACACATATGTTCTCTCACACACATTCACTTTCGTACTCTCTCATGCATGCGTTCACTGCTTCACACACACATGCCCACACATATGCTCTCACCCACACATGTGCACACACACACACACACAAAGTGCAGGGGCATCACCACTAGTGGTCTAGCCCAAATGAGTGTGACCTTAGCCCAGGGCTCCATTAACGGAGCCAGTGCTGGATCATGGGACAGTGAGCAAGTCATTCTTGTTCATTCCTGTTCACGGCCCCTCCCGCGGGACAGGATGAGGCGAGGAGAGGATGAGACCCAAAGCATGTGGGCCTACCTACCCCACCAACACTCAAGATGGCAGCCGTATTGTGTTGCACCTGCTTGTTCACTGGGTGACTGGTGAATTCTGCCCACATCCAGTCCCTGACACCACCTATGACTGCTCATTCAACCAGAGAGCCTCCTAGCATGAGTGTTTCCCTCCCTTCCCCTGCCACCAGGAGCCAGGGGCAGACCCCAAAGCCACAGGGGAAAGAAGAGCATATAGCCCAATGGCCAGGCCTCTCTAGCCATGACAGATCCAGCAGCCGCCAGTTCATGTGCCATGCCTGTACGGCCATGTCCTTCATTTTCATAGCACTGCATTAACTTATAAGTGCTTCGATGTGGGCTTTGGGTTGCTGGACTGGGTTTCTTCATCTTCCTGGACCCCTCTTGGCTCCCCGATACAACTGTTAATGTTCATATGGGAGCTGGGGAGTGTACCTTCCTAAGCTGCTACTGGCTCATGCACAAGGTGTGCAGGAAACCACTCAGACTCCAGTACCTGCACATGCTCACCAACAGAGGGGGCGGGTGACAGACCTGTTCGCTTCATGCTGCCTCTGTTCCTTTTGTAGAAACGGGAGATCAGCAATTTTGAGTACCTCATGTACCTCAACACCCTGGCCGGAAGGACCTATAATGACTACATGCAGTACCCAGTGTTCCCCTGGGTCCTGGCTGATTACAGCTCTGAGGTAAGGCATCCCCTTGGGAGCTCCATGGGGTTCACTCAGTCGGCCCGTGCAGCCTCTTCTCAGGGGGTTTGCTGTCCTAAAGCCATGTCACCAGGTCTTGGCAACCTGGGTTTGTGTCCCATTGGCACCTGCGCATTGGTCCACATGACCAACCCCAATTACTCCTGCAAGCTCAGAGGGCTTCCCATGCCCGCACCCCAAGGTGGACAAATGTAATCATCCGTTGAACTAGCTGTGGACCCACACAGGATAGGAAGGGGTGTGAGCGGCTATCAGAAATGAAGTGGACCATGGAGTTCATTGCCAAAATCAGCACAGGTCTGCCCATGCAAGGGGACACACCTGAGCCATGCTGCAGGGCCCTGACGTCATGCCAAGGCTCTGATCATCTACAGGGGAACATTGAGTTGCATGTCAAGGACAGAAAGTGCATGGGTCCCTACTTCATACCAGCCTGGTCAGAACTGCCTGGGGTGGCCTGTTGACATACCCCAAGGAAGAGACTCCCTCAGTCTTCTGGCCACCCTCTGTGAGTGCTCCCCAAGATCCAGGCCTTTCCCTGGCAAAGCACACTCAGTCCCAGCCTTTAACTCCTACCTTGGTAGGTGGCAGGGGTTACCAATCTGGCATGGTGAACTCAAACACTGTATTTTTTTAAAATTTAGATTATTTACCACTATCTGGAAATTGGGAAATTTTGCCTTAAAAAGAAATACTCTAGATTTCCAATAATCTTTGGAAAATCATGAGAGCCTGGCTGCAGTGAGCCGTCCTGGCCTGACAGACGGGCTGTGGCTGGAGCTGGGGCAGTGGGGCATATGTAAAGAAACAGAAACCTCTCTGGTGGTAGAGAGATGCGTGTCTCAGGCAACCTCGGCTGCCCTGCTACGCTAACACACTGCAGCCTCTCCGGGACTCCAGACCCTGGAACTGAAGTTCAAGACCAAGGGCAAGGACATTTCTTCCCTGCTGTCATGGTCACAGAAGGAAGAGACCTCTCCTCAAAAAAAGAAAGGGTCCTGTCATGTCCATCCCCAAATGGATGGCTTCTGGCACCCTCTAAGGCCAGTTGGATGCTAAACAGAGCCCCTGGACCATGGGAGTGAATTTCTCCAATGGGGGCAGCAGCCAAATGCATGATGGCCAAATCAGATTCTTTTTCCAAAGTCTCTTTTCTGAAACAGGTAGTCATGTTCTGACTTGGGTCAGCTTGGAACAGGTTCAGCGTGAACTCAATCTTCCCCTCCTCTCATTCTTCATCTCTCCCCTATTAAGTCTCTGTGGGTCACTGGCTCCAGGGCCATAAAACCTCAGCAAGCCAGCTAATGACCAGAGCCGGGTCAGACCAAATGGCAATAAACCAATAAAGAGAACCATAAAACTAAGGAGCGTGGCTCCTGGGTGGTGGAGGGGTGGCGGGGGAGGGCTATTGGAAGGGGGCAGGGATTCACTCCCATTGCACATCTGCCTTCCAGACGTTGAACTTGACAAATCCCAAGACTTTCCGGGATCTTTCAAAGCCCATGGGAGCTCAGACGAAGGAAAGGAAGCTGAAATTCATCCAGAGGTTTAAAGAAGTTGAGAAGACAGAAGGTGGGCAAGATTGCAGTGTGTGTGTGTGTGTGTGTGTGCTGTGATGTCCGTCTGAGTGCCTTACAATGATCATTGATGACAGTTGGGATGGTGAGTGATCCTACACACAGATGACTGGCCCAGAAGTTAGCATCCCCGCTGCGTCTAAGACCACCTTGGCCAGCCCAAGCCAACCTTTCTGGGTGAGGGGCTAGAACACACAAGATTGTGCACAAACCACGCATGGCTTTCAGATGATTTTGCATCACAGCAAACTTAACTCTCATTCCGTTTTTCCATGCCATTTCTGAAGACCCCCTTACACGGTGAGCCAATACACAGAGAAGGAAATTGTAACTCAGAAAATGTGAGCGACTTGTTGAGTAGCTAGGCCTGTGAATGACAGAGCCCACCGCTGTCTGCCTCGGAACCCAGGCTTCAGACTGTCCAGCTGCACCACCCTCTGATTGCCTCCATGGGCAGCTCAGGCTCCTAAACATCAACCCAGGCAGCTTTCTCAAATGTTCTTCCTGCAGCTGTGCCCCCTGCACCAGCACAGGTGGGGCAGCCACCCTCAGATGGGTCCTTTCTTTGCAGGGGACATGATGGTCCAGTGTCACTACTGCACTCACTACTCCTCAGCCATCATTGTCGCCTCCTACCTCGTGAGGATGCCACCCTTCACCCAAGCTTTCTGCTCTCTGCAGGTGAGTGTTCCCCCTACCATGTGGAGACACACACACATATGGCCCTCTTGAGGCTATCCATGAATCTGAGTGGCCAGGCAAGAGTGGTTGCAGGTGGGTTAAATCAGGACCTTAGGTGGCACCAAGGAAGCTGCAGCACTGTGGATTCCATGTACCTAGCCTCCTCTTGAAGTTAAGGGTGGGATTCCTGACTCGGGTGGAGCAGGGGTGGGGGGGAATCTCAAGCCTGCCTTTGACGGATGGGGTCACCTGCCTCAGACGCCTCCAGTCTCCCATTCACTCGTGCCATGTGACTCTTCTGGCACACTGTGACTGGCCGTGGCCCTCGCACCCAGCAGCAGCATCCAGCCTTTCCTGACAACAAGGATGAATTCCAGTTCTCAGCAGAAGGAGCTCAAGGGCTGCTTCTGTGGAAGGAATGTGCCTGGCTTCCTTCAGGTGTCCTCAGTGTCCTCGGGCTTCCTTCAGCATGTTCTGGCATCTTCTAGAACGCAGGCTCTTTCTTCCCAGTCTCAGAGTCCTTATGGGTAAAGCAGGGGTGGTGAGTGAGGTAGTCACCTTAGAGAACCTTTTCGTGATAGTGCCAGCTTCCAGCAGTCACTAAATTAACTACTGTGTGCCTGGATTGTGCCACGTACCCTGCGGGAAACTATTTTCAACCTTTTCGACTGTTTTATTGTAAGGACCTGTCCAGAACATCAGTCGTATCCTTGTAGTCATTTTCAAGTCATGGCTCATGGCATACAACAAGAGTCCCAGCGGTGTCCTGTCCCCAGGCATCTGTACACCTAGCCATGCTTCAGCTCTCCCTATCACTCCTCCCTCAGCACCAGCCAGCAGTCACCATTCTACCCTCTGTTACTGCAAATTTTTAAAGAAAGTAAGGGAGTCAGTTTCCTCAAAAGGAGGTTCTCTCTCTTTTTCTTTTTCTTTTTGGAAAGGCAGAGAAATATGGGAGAGAGAAAAAAAAAAAAAGAGGTCTTCCGTCCACTGGCCCACTCCCCAAATGGCCACAATGGCCACAGCAAAGCTAATCCAAAGATAGGAGCCAGGAACTTTTTTCTGGCTCTGCAACTTGAGTGCAGGAGTGCAAGGACTTGGACCATCCTCCGCTACTTTCGCAGGCCATAAGGAGACAGCTGGATGGAAAGTGAAGCAGCCGAGACTTGAACCGGTGCCTGTAGGGGATGTCAGCACTGCAGGTGGCAGATTAGCTTCATAAGCTATGGCACTGGTCCCTTTCACCAGTATACTCAGTGTTAGTGCAAACACCTGCCTCTGTCTGTGAATTTCACTTACACTGAGACTTGTAGAGATGGAGTCATTTGATGTTTATCCTTTTTGTGACTTGGCGTCGTAGATGCGCCTAGGTTGACCCATGTCAGGATTCCCTGAAGCTGAATGCTCTTCTGCTCCCTCTGTTACTTTGCTTCTCTGTGTACTCATCACGGGTGCTTGGGTTGCTTCCGCCTTTGCTGCGCCTGAATAATGCTGCTGCTGTGAATCCTGTTGTATGCTGTCCATTCACCCTGATCTCCTGGGGCTCTCACAGGCTTGCTGAATCTCTCAGAGGTGCCCTGGGTTCCAGCCCAGGGGAACCCCTGGGCCAAGGTGAGGTCTATATAGATCACTCAGGGGGAGACAGTGTTCAGGAAAAAAAAGAGGGGGGCACATGCTATGTTCAAGGTCATGTCTTCAGTAGAATGGGGCAGGTCCCGCTACACAGTGGTACACATGGGCCACACAGATGCAGTGGGACCTGTAGACAGTGTGTGGGAAGTATGACCCTCTCCCACGCAGGCCTACCTCATGCACCCAGAGCAGGGTGACTACCAGGAACTGTGTGTGGGGGAGGCAGTCTGCTGGGCCAGTAGAAAGCAACCGTTGGGTTCTTGAAATTACTTCATTTAATGTACTCTACAGAGAGCTGTGGGGGGCATGGAGGTGCCAACGATGGCTAAGAACCACAGAACAGCACACTCTGATCCCTGGCATGAGCCAGCTGGTCTTGGGGTGCACTCCTCCATCACTGCTGTGTGTGGGCTTGCTTTTCGGTCCCTGCTATGACAGTGACACATTCTTACAAGCCACACAGTATGAGATATGTACAAGGGTCCTTCCAAAAGTTTGCAGAAAATCTATATTTGGTAAAAGCATGAGTGGGTTTTAAAGCATGCAGCACTGAAATATAAGTTCTGTGAGGATTTAGGGACCCTAGGATGTGAGCTCTGAGCAGGTGCCACGTGCCAACCGTGTGCTCTGTTAGCCCCACTCCTGCCTGCAGGGCAAGGGGACTGCTGTCCTGAGCTCACAGCCCCAGAAGGTTCAAAGTCTTGGGCATCTTCCTGCCTTGAGTCAGATCCAAGAGCACCCAGGAAGTTGAATCGCTGGGAGGCCATGCCCCTGCAGGGGTTGAGGCCCATTAACCTTTCTCTGCTCCGTTAGGAACACCAGTTGCTCTTGGGCCTGAGACCAGCCCCAGCCTGGTTGGGACCCAGCAAGGACACAGCGGCAGTGGTGGCTGCTGCTGCTGCATTTAATAAGCCATGGAAATAAAGTGCTGTGTTAATTAAGTCACAGCCCGTGTGCAGTCAGCTGTTCCCAGCGGTGGGGAAGGGTTTCTGGAACCACCTGAGGCGAGATGGCAGGATTTTGTGCAAGACAGATGCCAACTGTAGATAGAACTGGGAACCCTAGGGTAGTCCTCAACCTATTTTGGCTGCATGCCTGGGAGCTCATGGAAGGGTGCCAAGGCAGTCCGGCAGGGCAGGTCCACCTGGATGCAACTGCCTGCTCAGCTGGACTTGCTGAGCCTCAGCCTGATGGCAACAGCCCTTGGTGGCGGGCAAAACCTGAACTGACTTCCAGGTCTCCAACACAGACTCAGTGAGGAATCTGAAGAAAGCCGTGTGTAATGGAACCACACTGTCCTGCTTTCAGAACTTTCTGATTGGGGGTGCTGGATCACAGAGCCTCTCTTTCCCCTGTCTTGTATAATGACTCTAACTGATGGGCCGCTGTGTGTGGTTCTCTATTCAACTCCACTCTGTTGATGAGCAACAGACAGAGCAAGCCTCTTTCTTTTTTAAAAAAATCTATTTGAAAGTCAGAATTACAGAGTGAGGGAGAGACAGGCAAAGAGAAAGGGGAGCAGCTTGGAACCTGCCCACCTGTTGGACAGGAACCCACCATCCTGAGCCACCGTTGTTGTGTATTCCAAAGTCTGCTCTGACAGGAAGCCAGAGAAGGGACCCAAATCCTGGGACTGTGGCACGGGACGAGGGCAGGTCAACCCCCAGGCCACATGCCCACCTGCAGGGTGCAGAATCCCTAATAGGGCAGCATCAAAGTGGACCCTGGCTCCCTGAGAAGTACTTCATTTCCTCCAATTTCTAGACTTCATTTTGGTGCTTCCTTTCATTTGCCTTGAGCTTGTATCTTCTGTAGGTGCAGTCAGCCTGGCTGTGGTTCTTTCTGTCTTTCTGTTTTCTGGTAGTTTGCTCCCCAAATGCCCAGAAAGAGCTGAGCTGATCCAAAGTCAGGGACCACACAGGTGCAGGGTCCCAAGGCTTTGGACCACCTTCACCTGCTTTTCCAGGCCACACGCAGGGAGCTGGATGGGAAGTGGAGCAGCCGGGACATGAACCAGCACCCATATGGGATCTTGATGCTTAAAGGAGAGGATTGACCGTGGAGCCATTGCACCGGGCCAAATCATGCATCTTTGATGCTCCCTTCTCAAGCTCACTTCCCTTTATTTTCTCCTTCTTTCTTTCCTTCCTTCTTTCCTTCCCTGAGAATCCAGCCCTAACTGCAGCTCATTGCTGGCATCCACCAGAGTTCATGTCAACCCACCGATTTACAACACAAACAGACAAAAGTACTCCACTCTTCCTTCTAGGGCCTTTGGTGTTTCCTTTTGTATTGCAAAAGTGAGAAAACCCATTAATTTGGAAGCAAATGTATGCAAATACATTTATTAATCCAGGAAATAGGAAAATCAGTTATTGCTTCCTTTATAAATAATACAAGCTTAAGTTTTAAAGATATTACTTTTGCTAAAATGCATTAGACAGCTGTGAAAAAAATATCATTTCTCTTTCCGGTAATATCTTTAACCAGATTTGTAGCACTAACAATATTTCATATGTATATATTATTTTTATTTAATACAGGTAATCTTTTTTATTACCAAATCATACTGTTTCTCCGGAGATTACCATCAGCATTCATAAAAGCTACACGAGGAAAACAGGGGGACGAGGCGACATCGCTGTGCTGCAGACGGCAGCCCGCAGCAGCAGATTAAATGCACATGGCGCAGGCTGAATTTTAATGAGTGATTTGTTTGTTGCAGATTCCTTTAGACCTCCCCTCACTTGATCTTTGGTTCCACTTTGAACCTGATGGTGGACGTCCATCCCCTAAGTTCGGCCAAGAGCAAAGTGACCTCCAGTAAAAAAAAGCTCCATGTACTCTGTCTGGTTGAAACCCATTAAGAAACTGGAGCCTCTGGGTAACCGGATTGCCGAGCAATTACCCGTGGGGTGTCATTGGGTCCTCCCAACCAATGCATGTCCACTGGAAAGCCCATGTGGGGCCTGCATGATATGTCCTTCCCTCCCTGGCTTTCACAGGGTGGAAGGCCCTGGATTGAGTTCGCACTCAGGTCCAAGGATTTCTCCTCAGGAAATTGGCCAGGGGCAAAAGCATACACTTTGGAGTTGTGTCCATGGGTTTGATCCAGTTCTACCATGTATTGCTTTGACAAGGTTAGAACAATCAGTGTGCTTTGAGAGTCTCAGTTTTCCAGTCTGCATTCCAACACCAGTGCATCTACGTGAGAGGCCATGTAGATCTCTGTGAAGCACCTGGACACGGAACAGACAGGCCCAGACGGCTCCTGACTCTTCCTCAGCCTTTGGCGACTGCACCTGCGCCAAGGTGGCTTTATATAGCTCAATACCGCCTGGAAAGCGAAGGGAGCTGGTAAGGGCGGAAGACTCTGGCTTTTGCTCTCTGAGCTGCATGTGTCTGCTGCAGAAGTCAGCCAGAGAGAAAACAAGTTCTGTTAGACCAGGCCTGACCTGGAGGGACGCATGGACAAAATGACGGGGTCCCTGTGGGGAGCATGTGCCTTGGCCCAGATTCACGGGCTCCCTCCTGCAGGCCTTCTGCCCACAGAAACTTCATCCCTCCAACCAAGACTTGGTCCAAACCCTGTCCCCCACCTGTGCTCCCTTTTAACCGCCCACAGCCACCCACAGTGAAAAGGATTGGATCTGCTCAGATTCGCTGGTTCAGGTGGGAGTAAGAGCAGGGCAGTATCTGTGGAAAGAATTTGCCTTGAGATTTACCTGGCCCAACCGCAGCTGCTAAGCTTGGCCTACATCAGCCCACCTACTACAAGGACCTTGGTACCCTGTTTCCTGTCTGTGGCCCTCGCCCCAGGGACAATCCCCCTGGAGCCTTGAGCGAGGATTCCTTTAGCTCTTGCTGCCTCATCACAAGCAAACTGCCAGCTCAGAGCTGGCTCTGCGGCCCCAGAAATGACCTGACTCGTCCGAACTCAGATTTCCCTGATAGGAAACAAGGATCTGCATTGGCCACTAGGGATCTTCCCTTAGCCTTCCTTGAAGCACAGGTGCAGGATCCCAGAGGAAGTTGAATGGATGAATGAACGCGTGGAGCACCTGATGGATAATGACTGTGTGTGTGTTGGGTGGGGGCGGCAAGTACAAGCAACACAGGGACCTGTAGATAGAACTCTGGACCCTGAGGCCCAGCCCACACTGTGGTGCCTGGCCAGCGGCTCCAGGCACGCAGCAGGTCATGCCCTTCTCCCCACAGGGCGGAAGCTTCGATGTGGCAGACAGGATGTTCCACAGCATGAAGAACGCGTGGGAGTCAGCCTCCAAGGAGAACATGAGTGACGTGAGGGAGCTGACCCCGGAGTTCTTCTACCTGCCCGAGTTCTTAACCAACTGCAACGCAGTGGAGTTCGGTGAGTGGCGTGGCTCAGGAGGCCGGATGGGCTCTGGGTCCTGGTGACTGACGTGATCAGTATCTTTGCTGGGGCTCCCCGTCAGGCCTGGGGCCACCATTGGTGGAAGCACCCCAGTGGGGATGGACACTGTGCCTCCTGCTAGAGGCAGGAGCCCTTACTGGAAGTCCAGGTCTGGCACTTCCCTGCTGTGGAATGATCTTAGATGAGCCCTTACCCATCCTGCACAGTCAGTTAACCTGGGCCCTGGGAAGGGGCAGGCTGCTGGCTGGTGGTGGCTGTTTCCCTTCTTGCACTTTGGACACCCTGGTCCACATTGAACCTGGCCTCGAGGAGGAAGCAAAGATTCAGGAGGTTCTGCTAGGGCAGAGCCCCTGGCTCCTGCATGCAGCTCGGGAGCCTCCACTGCAGACATGTGTAAGGCCAGAGCAGGGTGGTCTGCAGCGGGGGCTGTGTGGGCATGGGGAGGCCAGGTAGGGGGTGGGGGTGGCAAGCCATGGAGCCAGGAGGCACCTGCTGTGCACATGGCACTCACGGGCCATCACCAACATGCACCTCGAACCCCACAGCTCCCCTCCCTCAGAATTCCCCTGCTTCTTGCAGGCATCCCATGTTTGTCTCAGCCAGGCCAGGTACATCCCCAGGGGTAGGGGAGCTCAGCACAGGTGGGAAGTACTCACTGCTGAGCAGGGTTCAGAATCCCCGCTTGCCTGCAGTCACGCCCCAGAGGGGTGAGGGCCCAAAGAACCCGGAGGACCAGCTGCCACCCAGCAGAGTGAGGCCAGGATGGGACTGAGGCAGGAACTGCGGGAACCAGAGGAGGTGCAGCTGGACAGCCTGCAGTCAGCACCAGCCAGAGACCAGCTCTGCCTGGGAAATGCAGCCCAGTTCTCCAAGAAAGGCATGATGGCTTGGTTGTAGGAATGGCCACAGGTGTCATTGGAGGATAAGTGCTTAGTGAGCCCCTGCCGTGGACAAATGAGTCTGGGGACTTGGTGCACTTGACAAGATTAGGTAGGAAGTTGGTCTGAAAGGGACTAGGGGACCTCTCTCTGTAGAGAGGAGGAGAGACAGAGAGGAAGATCTTCCATCCTCTGGTTTACTCCCCAGTGTGATTGCAACAGCCAGAGCTGCACCAGTCTGAAGCCAGGAGCCTGGAGCCTCTTCTGGGTCTCCCACACGGGTGTAGGATCCCAAGGCTTTGGGTCATCCTCGACTGCTCTTCCCAGGCCACAAGCAGAGAGTTGGATGGAAAATGGGGCTTCCAGGATTAGAACTGGGGCCGGGCCCATATGGAATCCCGGTGCATGCAAGGCGAGGACTTTAGTCACTTGGCTACCACACCAGGCTCTATATATCTTCTCTCTGTAAATCTGCTTTTCCAATAAAAATAAATAAATCTTTTCTTAAAAATCACTGTGTGACCCCAAGAATCTAGGAGGACCTCGTAGAGGAGACGAAGTTTGGGGACCAAGGAGAAGGGGATGGCAGGCAGGTCAGACAGGAAAAGGTGAGCTTTGTATGGGGCACAGCTCCCACCTAGCCCCCAGCCCTGGAGAGTAGTAGCCTCAGTTTTACATCCTGTGGTGTGGGCTCCCGTTTAACTCCCTACTGCCTCTCCTCCCACTCAGGCTGCATGCAGGATGGGACCGCGCTAGGGGACGTGCACCTGCCCCCCTGGGCAGACGGGGACCCCCGCAAGTTCATCAGCATGCACAGGCGGGTGAGTCTCTCCCGCCCTGCCCTCCTCTGCTGGGCTCTCTGCCTCCACGGAGACTGCTGATCCCAGGGGATTGGGGAAGAGGGACCTCTCCAAGTGTCTGAAGGACCTGGAGGAGGGACTGGGGTCTGCCCTTGGGGTTTGACAGGCAAAGGTCTTGGTTCTGGGTGCTGGCAATGAATGACTCCACCCAGCTCTATATTGTACCGTGTATTGTGGGCAGCTGGCAAGAAGTGACTGCAGACTCCACTTGAATGTCAGCTAGAAAAAATCAAGGAGGGTCCATAGCTGCCCAGTTCAAGGGGTTTGGAGGCCTCAGGAAGCTCCCAGTGGTCCAGGAATTCTCCAACACTGAGAGAGACTCTGGGTGTCTGATATGGGTAGAGGCCCAAAGCACCTGTTCTGGGTGATTCAGTAAGATTCCCACACCCAGTTATCTATGATCTTTTGGTTCTTGAGCCAGGTGGAGTGAGATAGGTTCAGGGAGACCTCACACCCTGATCCCAGCAGCTTAATTCAAGCATCACGCATAAGCCTGTTGCGGGGGACAGAGCAGGGTGATTCCACCTAACAAGGAGCTAAGAGACAGGTACCAGACAGCTCTGCCCCAGACACAACTAAATACTCACACTAGACCTGTGGGGGAGGACAGTCCCTGTCTATTCTGCAGGTGCTGAAACTGAGGAACTGAGGTGGTAAGAGGGGTGGGAGTGGCCATGCTGGGGGCCAGTCCCAGCCAGGGCATGCCCCTCCCTCTGCTGCCGCCTTCCCCGAGTCACAGCAGTCTCCGTGTCCCATGTCGATTCTTGGCATTTCCTGTCAATCACCAAGCTCCATGTTTAGCCTGCTTTCCTTTCAGCTGTCTCTGCGAGCCTCTGGACCACGCACAGGCATCCCGACCTGCGTGTGGTTGTTTTCATGAGCTGGAGGAGGGGCAGGGGTCAGATAGGGTTCACCACCTTGGGGAACTAACTCTTGGGACCCACTTTGTCCTTGGCCATCAGCTGTGTCTCCTGTGAGGAACCAGCACCCGAGATGTGCCCAAGCTCTCCAAGGCCCTCATGTTCCCACGTCCCTCCGGGTTTTGGGTTCCAGGCCCTGGAAAGCGACTTCGTCAGCGCCAACCTCCACCACTGGATAGACCTTATCTTTGGATATAAGCAGCAGGGTCCGGCTGCCGTGGAGGCCGTGAACACCTTTCACCCCTATTTCTACGGTGACAGAGTGGACATTGGTGCCCTCCGGGACCCCTTGATCAGAAGCACAATTCTGGGGTTCGTCAGCAACTTTGGGCAGGTGCCCAAGCAGGTACGGCATGCCACGGCAACGCATCTGGCTTTTCTCCAAAATGTGAGCTTGGGGGACGGCAAGGGGGGTACTGAGGAGAGAGATGGCACTCTTGTGGGTGTGCTGTCACCATCAGGGATTAGCCTGCGGTGACATCCCCAGTGCCCATGGAGACGATGAGGACGTCCTGTAACGGTGAAGACCATGCTCACCTGGGATGCCATGATATCAACACGTGTGCCTGACGTGTGTCTGCTGCACGGGGATGCTATAAGTGAAGGAATGAAGACATGCGAGAGGGGGTGGCTCAAAGAGTGGCACCCAGTCCAAAAGGAGGCAGCCCCATCACTTGGGCATCTGATTGGGGTGGCAGATGGCAACGACAGTGTGTGAAAGCCGAGAAGCAGAGAATGATCCATCCCAGCATGGATGTTGCACTTGACTGCCTAGGCTCTACCCAGCTCCCTGAGGGTAGATACAGACCTCTTCTCCCTAGGCTGAGAGAGAGAGAGAGAGAGACAGAGAGAGAGAGAAGCCGTATCCCACTTGCCTTTTATAACCACCATAACCCAAGGCTCACCTCCCAAACCTCGTCAGTGGACTGAGTTTCACACTCTTAGTAGCATCAGTGTGAGTTCAGCAGCCATGGGCTATTCAAATCACAGCAGATGAGGCTTAGAAATTAGATAGCCCAGCCACAGCAGTCTATAGAAAGGAAACAAGCTCAGGAAAGGAGTTTAGTTGCCCAGTGGTGGCTCCAAGGAGTAGCCACAGAGCTGGATTCGGATTTGCTTAGTGATAGGCCACTTAAGAGATCTGTAAACGCTATCTAGGTCATCATCAGAATGAGAGTTCCCAGGTGGCGCCAGTCTGAAGACAACCTTGAGGTGCCCCTGAGTTGTCCATGGTTCCTGGCAGGAACTCTGCCTACAGGGACCCAGCCTAGGGACACTGGCAGAGATTCTTGGTGAGAAACAATATGCATTTGCAAGTGCTCATGGGAAAACCCATCACTGTGATCTCCCTTGGGATTTGTCACCCATCCTGCTGTGCTGGACAGGTTAGCATCTGAGCAGGGCTGTAACAAGGAACCCTCCCCAGAATAGCTGTCCATCAGACCTGAGCCAACCCTGCCCCCTGCTCCTGCACGCATCCAGAGCCCACTCACATTTGAGCCACCTGTTGCGGACCACCCCAGGGTACTGCTGTCTGGCAGCCCTGGGATGTGCAGATACAGCCTTGGGGATATGGAGAGGAGCTGGTCACAGCCAGGGCTCTGGCCCAGGGGCCGGCTCTCTGCCATGTGGCTCAGCCTTGGGCTTTGTCCCGTTCTGTGCGACCCTGGGCCCTGGGGACGTTTAGATGGCAGAGATCTGAAGGGAACAGTAAGAGCAAGAGAAGCCATCGATGGGGTTCACCTGCGCTCTTTGGACCATTAGAATGAAAGCATGTGAGCAAATCTGTGTTAATGCTTTTTGAAGGTTTATCAACAGGCAAAGGGAGACACACGACCCAGGGAGAGAAAGGGGCCCACTCCGACCTCAGGAACCAGGACCTCCTCAGTAAGGAGTCTTTGTCCAAGCAGGCAGATTTGACAGCCAGAAGTGCAATCCCTACAGCTAGAGAACATAGCTGCCCCAGGTTCTCAAGCCCCTTACCTGCCACAGCCGAGTGCTGGAGCACTGTATGGGTGCCGCTGGGGTGTGTGGGAGGTGTCCCCCTGCCCCCTGGTGACCCATGTGCTGTGTGCTGGCCCCTTTGCCTCTCCAGCTCTTCACAAAACCACACCCAGCCCGGAGCGCCGCAGGAAAGCCGTCACCCACGAAGGATGTGGTTGCCACCCCTGTGGGCCTGGCTGGCCACCCACAGCCCCTGTTCTACAACCTGCAGGCACTGCGGCCCTCCCAGGTCACAGTCAAAGGTGATTCCCGGGCCCCTGCGCGGCTTGACATCCCCTGCTCCAGGGTGGAACATCAGTGACCCACGGGGGGCTGTGGGAGGTCCAGGGGTGCAGATCTACCCGAGATATTGAGGTCTGACTTCGAGTGGCTTTGTGTCAAATCACAGCAGGAACTGGGGGAGGCCTTGATTTCTGGAAGCATCCAGGCCCTTTGCTTCTGACCCACATCTCTGTTATGTCTCTCTCTCTCTCTGTCTTACACACACACACACACACACACACACACAATTGAGGGCTTTTGCATTCTCAGTGCATCAGACAATCCTGCAGAGCTATGAGTGACAGCGTGTGTGAATGGGAAAGGTGGCCCGGAGGGCAGTGAGCCCGGAGCTCCTGCTTCCTCAGGATGCTCAGGGAGAGGGCAGCCCTCCCAGGTCACCCACCACAGGCCAGGGTTGGGGCAAAAGGCCAGCCCCACAATGCATGCAGGCAAAGGTGACAGCCTCAGCAATGACCCCTCTTCATTTCCGGCCTTGCACTGTGTAGGGCAGTCCAGGCAAAGTCTCCACTTTACAGGGATCACCAACAACTTGCCCAGGGCACCCAGGCTTGGAACACTGCCTGAGCTTGTGTTCTGGCCAGGGTCCGATGGCTTCCAGAGTCAAGCTGGAGGAGGCCAGGAGCCCGGCGTGGTGCGTGCCCTGGGGACCCCAGATGGCTGCCTTAGCCTCTCCTCCTCTGGCATCACCCCTGAAGTCCACGTGTGGTCATGTCACACAGGAGAGAGGGACCCAGACAGTGACCTTGCATATGGCGCCTAGCATGGGTGTTGCACCTGCTGCCTAGGCTCCGCCCACTCACTGGGGGGTAGATATGTACCTCTTCTCCCTAGGCTCAGAGTCCCCCAAAGGGGCCATCGGCCACATCGTGCCCACCGAGAAGACTGTCCTGGCTGTGGAGAGGAACAAAGTGCTGCTGCCCCCGCTCTGGAACCGGACCCTCAGCTGGGGCTTTGACGACTATAGCTGCTGCCTGGGGAGCTACGGCTCCGACAAGGTGAGCACGGTGGGCTCCACCGTGTACCTGCTGGGGGAGGGAGGGGCTGGGCCCTGTGACTCTGAAAGTCTGCACCTGACTTCTAACCCACACTCCGAGGTGCTCAGCTTTTGCCGGCTGGTGGTGTGTTCCCGGAGTCCTCTGGACTGGTGCTGGACCTGGGTGCATGGGAGTCAGGGGTTCAGGCTCAAGGAACACAGCTGTCTGCTTCCTGACTCCCGCAGGTCCCCCTCAAGCCATCCAATGTCTGCCTTGACCCTGCCCACCTCACCCTGCTGCAGCCAATGAATGTCTAGCTCTTCCCTCACCTTGTCCCCCACACTTCATGGAGGAGCCATGGAAGCTGACCCCAGATGTCCCCCTTCCCTAAGAACTGTCCCGATCGCCTCACCTTAACCCCGGCTGAGTAGCTGCTCCCTGGTGTTCATGGGTGTGTGTCTGTGCTTGCCCACCTGTCTCCCACCCCCCACTCATCTGCTGGAGAAGCCGGTGGTGGCCTGGCTTTTGTCACCAATGCCTGGCAACTAAACATCTGATATTTTCAGCCACAAGGCGCCCAGACTCACCACTCACCAGTGTCCACACTCATCGCTCTGTGTAGTGTAGGGCTCCTGGCTCCTGCTGCCCTGCACTAGCGCACACCTGACTCTCTCTCTCCCTCTCCCCCCCCCCGCACTCTCTCTTGTTCTCTTTCCCTCCTTCCCTCCCACAGACCCTGATGACCTTTGAGAACCTGGCCGTCTGGGGCCGCTGTCTGTGTGCCCTCTGCCCGGCCCCCACGACGATTGTCACCTCTGGGACCAGCGCTGTGGTGTGCGTATGGGAGCTCAGCATGGTCAAAGGGCGTCCCAGAGGCCTGCGGCTCAGACAGGTAGGAACCCCACACAGGTACGATGGCACTGCAGGCTGCCAGGTACCTTGGGTGGGAATCCGTGCCTCGGGCAAGTGCAGGGCCTCACACAGAGAGGTGGTGCCTGAATAGAATAAAACAAAGGGGAGTGGCCACCACTCCCTGTCACTCATTCCTATGAGTGGAGCTGATGAGCACAAAGACCTACACAGAAACCTCAAGACGCCAGGCCAGGGAGATTAGTCGCTGGCACTACATACTGCCAAGTTAGCACCTGCTGGGAGCTGGCCCTGGTACCAAGCACAGGAGCAGGGTTCGCTGCCTTATACCTTCTCAGCAGCCTCATGAACCAGGTACCAGCCTCCCCACCACTGTCATGTTGGAAAACTCCCAAGGTGCAAGCAAGTAGCTTGTCCAAGGTAATAGGACCCCAAGACGAAAAAGCGCTTCGAAAGCCAAGTGGTTATGGTGGGAGAGAATGGAGCCACAGGCCAACAGCTCATTCTGGTCCTCATCGTAGGGGTCTTTGTTGGGGTGTGGGGAAGGGGTACCATCTGTCAGTGATCATGTCACCCCTTAATGGCACCCAGGCTTCTGGGCCCTGATTTGCAATCCTACAAAGCAGGCACTGCCCTCCCACTCTGAGCTGGGGAGACAGGTTCAGAACTAAGTGTGCCCATGGGTCCTCATGTCCTGCTTTCCAGGCTGCACACGAGCTGGAAGCTGGAGCTGGCCTTCAGCTGCAGCCTGGGAGGGGGCTGTCCTCAGTGACAGCGTGCCCACTGCACCTGGTGATTTATTGGCCTTATAGAGAAACATCATTCTAAGGACACACACAGGTACCTTGAGAGGGCATCTTAAGCTTTTGATTCAAGTTCCCCCTGCCTTCCCAAACTGTGGGCTGGCTGCTGCCTGGTGATCCTGCAGCTCCGGGGCCTGTAGGCAGGTCACCAACCTCTCCAGTGCGGGCAGTGCCATGCACACAGGCTCTCCCTGTGAGGAACAGGGACAACATGACCCAGTCTACTCCAAGGGCAGAAGGACACACAGGGAGACAGTGAGAGCAACCGCTAGTGCGGGGGCACTCTAAATGCCAGGGCTGAAGCCCACAGACAGGAGCACCCATGTGGCTGGCCTGAATCCAGCTGCTCAGGTTATCAGCGCTGTCTGCCAGGGGCTGCTTGAGTAGGAAGCTAGAGTCAGGAGTCCAGCCCAGACACTCCAGTGTGATCTGTGGATGCCACAGTCGCTTCCGAGTCACTTCCTTTTTGATGGTGCTGTGACCTTTCCTCCTTCCCAGTACAGTACAGGGCATGTGAGCTTCAGCATTCCATTTAGCATGATGGCTCACATGCTTGGGTATACATGGGGGAAAGTCCCCGATTCAGCAGGTTGAGGGTTGCGTCCAAGAATTTGCCTTTCTACAGAGCTCTTGATGCCGTGGGTCTGGCCAGTGTGTTTTGCCAGCTAGCACCCCGACTTGGTGGCAGTGCTGTGCGTTGCTTCAGGATGCCAAACCAATGCAGGAGAGTTCCCTAGCACGGGCAGCCTGCCGCTCTCAGGCTGGGCTGTGGTGGAAGGATGGCAGCCAGCTTCTCCCCAGCTGGAAGAGTGACGAATCCCAGAAGCCTGGCATGGACGTGGACACACACCCAGCACACACATGGACTTCGGGGTCCCTGATTCGCTCTGCATCTCTACCTTTTCACTAGGACCCAGCAGTGAACAGCAGTGCAGGGGATACCCCAACCCTCCAGGCACCTGGGGGTGTGTGTGTCTGTGTCACATACCCCACAGCTCTGCTTTCCACCCCCAGGCCTTGTACGGACACACACAGGCTGTCACTTGCCTGGCGGCCTCGGTCACCTTCAGCCTCCTGGTGAGCGGCTCCCAGGACCGTACCTGCATCCTGTGGGACCTGGACCACCTCACTTACATAACCCGCCTGCCTGCACACCGGGAGGGCATCTCGGCCATCGCCGTCAGCGACGTGTCGGTGAGGCTGGGTTCCTCGATGACTGCGTCTGCAGTGTGTCCATTACCTGCGACAGAACAGATGTGACACCAGGGGAGCTGGGCCCCAACCCAGAAGGTCTCTGGAGAAGCAAGGGGGGGGACGCGTCTCTCTTCTTGAGAGACATTGCACACATTTCTGTGTTGCTTCAAGATTTATTTATTTTATTTGAAAGGCTGAGTTACAGACCGAGGAGGAAAAGAAAGAAAAATCTTCCATGCAGTGGTTCACTCCCCAAATGGCTGCAACTGCCAGAGCTGGTCCAGGTTGCAACAAGGAGCCAAGAGCTTCTTCTTCTTGGTCGCCCATGTGGGCTCAGGAGCCTAAGTACTTGGGCCATCTTCCACTGCTTTCCCAGGGAGCTGGATTGGAAGTGGAGTAGCCAGGACACAAACTGGCACCCATGTGGGATGCTGGCACTGTCGATGAACGGAGCATAACACCAATGCAGCACCAGTTTCAGAACCATTTGCTGTCACTTTACCTTGCCTTTGACCCAGTGACATCCAACACTTGGTGGAGGCAGCTGTGGGCCCTGTGTTCAGCGCCCACCATGGCCTCCAGCGGCAGCCAGTACAGGACCATGGCGAGGGATCTGGAAGAAGCCCATAGGCTGAGCAGACCTGCGTCTGCCGGGGAAAGCAGAGACAAAACACAACCCCAGCTTGAAAGCTGTGACAGATCTAGGGGTTTCCTGGGAGGAGGTGGGCATCGTAGGGGGTCTCGGGACCCCATGAGGGCGGGTGGAGGCTGAGCAGATGGACAGGGCAGAGATGCCAGCTCAGAGGAAGGTGCTCTTACTCCACAGGGCACCGTCGTCTCCTGTGCAGGAGCCCACCTGTCCTTGTGGAATGTCAATGGACAGCCCCTGGCCAGCATCACCACGGCCTGGGGCCCAGAAGGGACCATTACCTGCTGCTGCGTGATGGAGGGGCCGACCTGGGACACGAGCCACGTTGTCATCACAGGAAGCCAAGACGGCGTGGTCCGGGTAGGTGGGTCTCGGGCAGAGTGAGGACACCCCACCCTGCTGCAGCTCTGCAAGCTGCCTTGGACATGCTGCCCACAGGCCAGAGGAAACAAACACCATGACACACACACAGCATACGTATTCACGTTAGCACACACCTGTCATATATACACACCATCACAATGCATTATACTCACGTGTGACACAGTGTATTGTATGTAAATGCCATCACACGTGTTACACACATGCTTTCATATATGTCATTGTGTGCATGCTAGCACGTGTTACATATGCACGCTCCCAAATATATATCATACTGTGTAATGTGCACATGCAACAAAACATGCGTAATGTATAGAAGCTATCCCACGTGCGTTATGTGCACATATTCATGCTTATCGTGCACGGGCTATCACATATGTGTAGTATATACATGCATGCCATCCAACACACATGCCGTGCCCTCACCACCCACCCACACGTGCCCTCACCACCCACTCATCCATCCACGCACTCACCATCCATCTGTCCTTGCATCTTCTACCGATGTACCAGTCACAACACTCACTGACACCCTCCGTCTCAACCTCGCCCCCCTCACGTGGCTGAAGCGATGTATTAGGCCTTTATTTCTCAACCAAGACACTCATCTTCTTGACGAGGAAGTTAGCAGTACCTGATGCAGCACTGTGTCTCAGCCTCCACTGGGACGATCCCCGCATGCCCTGGGGTCTCCAAGGAGGGCGTTGCTGGCACCAAAAGAAATATCAATTTGAAAGGGTCAGGCAGAAAGAACGAGGTGAGGGTGGTTTTTGACAGGAAACATGAAAAAATGAGGGGGAGCAATTGTTTAAAGACTCACTCAACAAACGGCCTCCCGAAGTTCCCAGGATAGGAAGGGAACCGCCACTCAAGGCTACAAGGTCCTCATGGACATGCCCATTCCATTTATGAAGGCTCAAACCCAGCCTTGCCCTCCATGGCCGTCTACACTCGAGGTCTCAGCATTGCTCCAGAGGGTGTGACAATGGCTCCGAAAGTGGGTGGAGCCCGTGCTGGGCCCAGCAGAAGGAGGGCTATCTTTCCAACAGAGAAATGACCTGCTGATCCACTGTGGTCACTGGCCTCCTGAGAGAGCCCAGCGCTAGGCCAGGCCAAGGCCGGAGCCCATGGAAGCATCTGAGTACACTCTAGGCCTAGTCCGTTTTAGGAGCTAGCAAGTGTAGACTTAGCAAGTGATAAGTCCCATGTGGCCAGCCTATGGGCAATGCATGTATGTGAACTTGGGGCACAATGGGGGGGGAGGGCAGCGATCAGCTGCTGAGTAGAGTGGGTGGCCCCCAGGGACAGTGATAAATTAGTTACAGGAGAGCTTGTTGGGGGTGTTGGAGGAAGGCCCTGAGAAACGCAGGGATGGGAGAGAACTCATCCGCTCTGCTGTGCCTTCTCCGGGCAGGGCTCTGGCGCTGGAATCACCTCCCTCCCGCCCTCCCGCCGATGCCTGAACCCCAGAAGGCAGAGGAAGGGGCCCCCAGGTCTGAAAACATTCTCTCCCTTTGTGTTCCACAGATCTGGAAGACTGAAGATGTGAAACTGCCTCTCCCAGGGCGGACAGCGGCCGAGGAGCCCCTCACTCAGCCCCCAAGCCCGAGAGGTACCTGCTGGCTGGGGAGGCACTTATCCAACCTTAGGATGCCCCCTCTCCTGGCCGCCTGCCCCCCCCCCCCGGGGCTGCCTGCAGGCCTAGGGGAAGCCTCTGGCACTGCCAGCTGCTGTCCTGTGTGGGGGTGACAGAGGTGGTTGACTGCCCCCTTCTGGTGGGGTGTGATACATTTTTTTAGTCCTGTCCCGTCAGCCTTGTAACATTCAGGGCTGCTTCCTGGACACACTCGCCACGATGTGATGCTTGCCCTGGTCTCTGGACTTCCAGGACAGACACAGCTTGGCTGGGCTTGGATTCAGTACTTTCTCTGAGCAGCCCGACCATTCACAGGCAAGGGGCAAGGAGAGGCCACTCCCCTCCCCCCGAACAAGGAAGTGGTCCCATGGTATCCCACTGACCACAGGCAATCCACCCAACTGCCCCCATGATCACCCAGAGTACGGACCATCTACATCAGCACTTCCCAGAGGCCAACTAGAGGAGGGGGTGCCAGTTACTGGAAGGTGGAGAGGGGAGTCGTCAGCCAGTCAGGAGACCCCTGTCTCCCGAGCCCCAACGTGTCCCAAAGAAAGAGAACCACGGCTCCCTACAAAACTCCTTGGGTTTATGGCTGATGAACTGTGAAGGAAGGAAACGTTGCCCACTATTGCCATGGCCACTGTTTCCATGACAACTGTTGTCGTGGTGACTGTCCCAGAAAGTGGACCAGGAGGAGACTCCACCGTCCCCTGGTTTCCCATGGTGAGCTGATACAGCCTTTACACATCACGAAACTGCTAGGCACAGGAAGGTTCACTAAACTCACCTGAAGTTATGCAGCAAGTGTGACTTCTTCCTTCCTCCTGCCACAATCTGGACAGAGCGGCTGTCACGGCAGATGCTGTCACGTCCTCACCACCACCACAAAGCACACAGGCACAAACCTCACCATCAACACCCAGCCCTAGTGCCTCCTCCGGTGCTGTGGCCTCCTCCGGTGCTGTGGCCTCCTCTGGTGCCATGGCCTCCGGTGCTGTGGCCTTCCCTCTCTGCCCAGTCCTCCTTGAAGCGCACGGCCCAGAACTGAGCCATCTGTCCCAAATCCGACAGGCCGACAAGGCAGCAGGAATTCTACCCCATCCCCACTGCCCAGACCCATGGTCTGAGGGCTGCCTCCTTGCTGAAGATAGCTCATTCTGGATTTTTTTTCAAAAAGCGTTATTTATTCGTATTGGAAAAGCAGATTTTGCAGAAAGACAAATCCCCAAGTGGCTGTAACGGCCACAGCTCAGTTGGTCTGAAGCCAGGAGCTTCTTCCGGGTCTCCCGCATGGGTACAAGGTCCCAAGGCCTTCAACCTTCCTCTATTGCCTTGTCAGGCCACAAGCAGGGAGTTGGATGGGAAGTGGAGCAGCTGGGGCACGAACCTGCAGCACCTATATGGGATCCCAACTCTTGAAGGGGGAGGATTAGCCAATTCAGTTACTGCAACAGGTCTGACAGTTCATTCCATAAATGTGGCTTGCCCATCTTTCACTCACTGAGTCATCCCGCCACCGATCCTCCTGCCAGGCAAGCATGTGGCACCTGCTGAGACCTGCCGCGTCCTGGAGGCTCTGTCAGCAGGAATCTTTCCTTTTCCCTAGCAACCAAGCCAGAGCAATGTTCTCGCACGAAGACAAGGCTGGCCAAGGGCCCCTGGGCCAGGAATCTCCAGACCCTCGGCCCATCCTGTGAGAATAGAGAACATTGCAGCCTGAGGAGCTTCTAGGGGGAACAGGAGCCACTGCCTTAGGACAGAGCTGGCGCAGGTTCTGTTTCCCCCAGCCCACCCCAAAGGGGTCCTGGGTGCACCTGTAGAAAGCGGCACTCCATTCTCAAACCAGTGAGCCCAACCAGCTAGCAGTGTCAGCTCCAGCCGTGGCTACCAGTTGGATGTCTAATGAAGGACCTTGGGCCGTGGGTGGGTGACCCATGGAGGGACAGATGAACCAAAGCTGTTTCACAGCCACTTCTGGACTTGCCTGGAAGTCCACAGGTGTCCATTCAGCATCCAGAAGAATTACAGAAGGGCTGGTTTGTGCAAGCTCTGCCACTGCTGGTGGTGTGGGCAACTGGTTCCAGTCCTGGCTGCTCCACTTCTAGATCTGGCTCCCTGCTAATACAGCAGAGGATGGACCAAGTGATTGGGCCCCTGCGCCCGGTGGGAGACCCGGGAGAGGCACCGTCTCCTGACGGCCCCATGCAGATCATGGTTCCCTCTTCTCAGTTTGCCAAGAGTTTCCTCTCTCCGACTGCAACAGGTGAGGGCCATTCCGGGACTTAGCACGATGGGGTTAGAGCCGCAGGAGACCCTGCCGTGCTTGTCTTTCCCTCACTGCCATCTGCGCCACTCTGAGGTCAGCAACACAATACCGCAGTGACGAGCCAGGACTGTTATGCCATGCAGAGCAGCACTGGATGAGACAGCACCACAGCATGGACATCTTAAAAAAAAAAAAAAAGGTTGAGCCATAGTTGTGAGATGGTTGGCAGATCTGCGTACAAACCACATCCCCACGTGGCCCCCTAAAAGGGAACACGTTGCTGTTATCATGTTGCCTAGAACTGTTTGGCGGGAAGGGGCTGACACTGAACTTGACTGCCTGCCTATTTGCATGTGTGCGGGTCACTGCATGCCTCCAGCGTCTTAAGGATCTGTCTCGAAGCAGCCCTTCCCTCCCCCAACTTGTGCCCCTCCATAGCTTCCTGGGCATGTGGGCACACTCGGTAGCTGCTGGCAGCTCCATTTCTGTCCCAAGTTCAGCCACATGGCCTCACTCAAAGGGGACACTTCCCCCCCACCCTTCCCGCAGAAGGAATTCTCCACTGTCCCCAAACACAGCCGTGACACTGAGAGGCAGTCACCATCATCAAGTTCTATTTTTTGAAAGAAAAAAAAAAAGTTCTCGGCATTTAATTATTGGTTGTGGCGTGAAAGGATTTGGATAAGTTGATAATGCCGACTTGATGTGATTTCGTTATTTATTATTTTTTTTTACTAGGCAATTACGGGCTGCATTAGGTCCTGGCAGCAAGGTATTGTGGGGGCAGCTTATTAAGCATAAAGCCAGTAAACACTGATGAACAATTCTGCTGAACTCGGCATGCAATTTAGAAAGCAATAATACACAAATCCAATTTGGTACACAATGGATACCGTGGCACGTCAGCACATGTAACTATCACAGCCTGCAAATTAAATTGGGACGGCCCTTTTTTGCAACAGCACGGGCCAAGATTAAATATATTTCCGCCTCAATTTAACAAGTTGCTGACCACAAATATAAATACAGTGCGTTTGTGTGTGTGTGCAACTCCGTGTGAGAATGCACATGTGTGTAGTGTGTGCGTGTGTGATGGTTCTCTTGCATGCTTCCCTACAGGCCGCAAGTGGGAGAAGAACCTTGCCCTGAGCCGAGAGCTGGACGTCAGTGTGGCCCTAACAGGCAAGCCCAGTAAGAACAGCCCGGCTGTGACAGCTCTGGCTGTGTCCAGGTGAGCCCTGCGCACTTCCTCCAGGTCTCCAACAGAGGGCGTTTGCACACCTCCCCAAGGCATTCTGGGCTCTTTCCTGTGATAGCCCTGTCAATTAGCGTTTGGGGTACACAGAGCTCCCTGCATGGCAGAGGGTGCCACCTGGGAGAGGACTCTAAGCCCACATCTCAGAGCCCAATGTAGGATCTGACACTTGACACATGTAAATTGGCCATGTTGTTGGGGACTCTAAGGGGAGGCCACCTGGGTTAGCCGTACCACTGTGCATGCTTGGGGACCCAGCTGCTTTTTGCCCTGCCCAGCCACCAGGGGCATTTTCCTTGCTGCTGCTGGTGGAGACCGCAGTGTTCTGAGGGTGGCTAGCTGAGGGCACCCTACCAAGACCCAGGGCCATGGGTCATTCTGCTGCAGGTCTCCTGGGCAAGAGGGCTACCCCAAGATGCTTGGGAGGCTGGGGCTGGCTCCCTATGCATTGCTGGCTTGGCTTGGGGTTTCAACAGCCCATGGCTCAAAAGCCTGCCAGCTCCTAGGGTCCAGACCATCTCCCAGTATCCCACTATCTGGCTCTCGCTTCAGGAGGCCACAAGGCTTCAGCAGGCCCCACAGAGCCCTGGCCCAAGGCCCCACATTTGCAATTCCCTGAGTACTGGCTGGGACACACAACTTTCTAATATGCTTGTCTTTCTCTTTCTCTCCTCCCAAGAAACCAGACCAAACTCCTAGTGGGCGACGAGAAGGGAAGGCTCTTCTGCTGGTCGGCGGAAGGCTAGGACGAGGGAGGCGGCCGTGGCCCAGGCGGGGCAGAAGGGGCACAGGTGGGCAGGGCCTGGGCAGCTGTGTCGTGCCCCTGCCTCCTGCTGTGGCTCCCACCCCATGGCTCCCTTCCAGGCCAGGGGCTTCTGTGGGTCAGAGCTGTGCACCCCCATGCTCTTCCCAGGGCCCCTTGGAATTCTCTGGGAAGCAGCAAGCGGCACCCTGGAAGCTATGGCTTGCAGGCACCAAGCCGTATGTGCACTTGCACGTAACCCGCCCGACCGAGGGCTCATCGCACTGGAGGTGCAAACAGAGCTGCCTCCTGAGAGCCTGTGGGAAGACGGCACTGTACGCGGTGGATTAAAGTGACAATGACCCCAGTGCACAGCGTTCTGCATGTTGAACTCGCCGCCGCCCATGTCCATTCAGATCCCTGCCTCAGCTTTAGGACACTGGGCTGACCACAGGGACACAGCTCCCTTCCTAGCGTTCCTCTTCCCGCGGTCTCGGCCTGCAGTGCCAGGGCTGAGGGTCAGCGGTGACTGCTTAGGAGAGCAGCCTCTGTGGCCGCGCTGGCTGCAGGTGGAGCCTGGCAGGCTAGCCAGCGCCTCCCACATTTGCTGCCCGCAGTGACATTGAGTCCCAGGCTGCACTCGGGTTTGACCCATCTTCCCCAGAGCTCTTCGCTTCCAGGAAGCCTAAGACCCCACTCCACGTGCTGGCTCTGAGCTGGCCCAGAAGGACTATATTATTGTAAAATACAGAGGATGATGGGGGCGGGGCAGAAAAGGGAGGGGGAACGGGAAGCCCTATACCTGCAAACTGTAAAATGGAAAATGAGAATAAATAATAAGAATAAGAAATGCACAGCCTGGGACAATCTGAATGGAGTCCTAAAAAGATGAGTAAAGCAAGTTGTCCTGGTGGCCCGTGCCCCGTAGTGCCTGGCTCATTCTACGCACAGAGCACACCCCGCCCCCAGAGGCCCCCTCCCCACCCTCCTCACACACCCCGCCCCCAGAGGCCCCCTCCCCACCCTCCTCACACACCCCGCCCCCAGAGGCCACCCCCCCACCCTGCCCAGACCACCCAAAGAGGAAATTCACCTTCTTTCACAGAAGCTGGCTCAGGTACTGGAGCTGAGGCACAGAGAGTAAAGCACACAGCTGGGATGCCAGCACCGCCTGTCACTGCCAGTCCGAGCTCCTGAGCCACCTCCTTGCCCATGTGCCAGGTCACCCACACAGGAGTCCTCCTGGCTCGAGGCTTGGTCCAGGCACAGCTGGTGCAGCCATGTGGGCAGTGACCCAGCAGATGGAAGACCTCTCCTGTCTCTCTCTCTCTGACTCTGACTTACAAACCAATCTTTTTTTTTTTTTTAAGTTCTTTCTTTTATGTGAAGAGTGGAGAGACATTGATGGAGAGAGATCTCCTGTCTGCGTGTTCACTCCTCGGATGCCCAGACTGACACCATCAACCAGAAAGTCCGCCAGGTCTCCCAGGGGTGCACTTTAGCAGGAAGCTGGGTATAAGGGGCGGAGCTGGGACTCAAACCCCATTTTGGAAGCCGATCTTACAAATGGGCTCTTAACTGAGGCACCAAATGCCCTCCCCTGCTGCTTCATTTACCATCAAGTAAAATAGGGACAAACCACTATCGCTGACCGCTTGCAGAATGCCGACGTTTGGCTTCTAGCCACCCACCCACCAGGTCATTGGAGCCACGTGCCCCTGCCTGCCTACAGCCCTCAGGGGCGGCACAGCTCTGCCCCTGGGTGACAGGAGGCCCTACTTCCCCAGGGAGCCCCCGAGCTGCAGCAGGTGCACACTTATAAAGGACATTAACCCAGAAACATCCCAGGGTGGACATGAAGCCCCAAGCTGCTGGCCCCCAGGCCGGTTTGCCCGGGGCAAAGAAGCTGCGCTTGGGCGTGTTTGATCCCTTGCCGGAAGTGTGGGTGGGTTGTGACGCTCCACTTGCCAAACTCTGGAGCAGCCAGTGATGGGGGCTGAGGACGGGGTGGAGGGGCCCTTAGCCTTCCGCTGTCATCCCCCGGTGTCACAGCAGGTGGCACTGGGAGAGACCTTGTATCCTTCCATAGGACGTTTTTCTTCTTCTTAATCTTTTCTAAAGATTTATTTAGTTCACTTAGAAGAGTTACAAAGAGGAGAGACACAGGGAGAGACATCTTCCATCTGCTGATTCCGAATGGTCACAATGCCCAAAGCTTGGAGCCAGGAGTTTCTACTGGGTCTCTCACATGGGTGCAGGACCCAAAATCTTGGGCCATCCTCTACTGCTTGCCCAGGCCATAAGCAGGGAGCTGAATGGGAAGTGGAACAGCTGAGACTCAAACCAGTGCCCAAATGGGATGCCGGCGTCACAAGTGGAAGATTAGCTTACTTTGCCACCATGCCTGCCCTGAATGTGTGTGTGTGTGTGTGTGTACCACCAAGCAGTTTTGCATGCCTCTCTGCTAGGGGCCTCAGAAGCTTGTTCTCTGACCCTCTCCATCTGTGCCCCTGTGCCATAGGTTCCAGAGAGAGCAGCCCTGGATGCCAACCATGCCAGCAACAGACACACACACACACACCTGCCCCCCAGTGAGGGCAGCGAGCCAGGAGCCGCACGTCCCGGGAGCCTGTCCTGGAACCTGCAGAGAACTGCAGGATTGGATTTGAGCACATTAAAATGCAGCCAGGCAGGGCACGTTCGGAGAGGTACAGACTCTTCATATGAAAATCCTGATGCAATTTGTTTAGCATAAAATCAAATCTCTCTGAAGCCAAATCAGTTTTCGCCTTACTAAGTTCCGGTGGCACAGAGCACACGCCCAGCCAAGGTGTGGGGGCACGCGGACACACACAGCCTGCCTACAATGGCAAGGTGTCGTTCACGGGATGGGCCATGTTAAAGTGCCCCACTGCCCCGCGGCAGGCTGAGCCACCAGGAGGACTTCCATAGTCCTCTCCTGCCCTGAGCTGGCGGTCTGAGCCGAGAGCGCTAGCTGGCTCCCACACCGTTTACTGCAGCAACTCCTTTGTTCGAGACCTGTCATTTATTTGACTTTTACTACCACAAGCTGCAATTCTGCCCCGATGCAGAAGGGGAGGGTGCAGCCCGCCTTGGGTGGGTCGCGCTCCGAAGCCTCGCAAGCTCAGCCCAGACTGGAGGCTCTGGCGGCCTCTCGTTGAGGTCATCCTTTCGCTCACCATTGTCCAAGGACCCGCTGAGTAGCGGTCCCACACTAGGCTGGCACCCTGACAGAGGGAAGCTGGCTTCCCACACAGGTGCCTGACCTGCGACTTCTGACCATCTGTGCTTATGTGGGTCCCCCTGACTCTGCTTCAGTACGTCTGTCTGTGGTTGTGTGGGTCCCCCAGACTCTGCATCAGTATGACTGCCTATAGTTGTGTGGGTCTCCCAACCCTCCGTCGCTACAGTTTTATGTTCAGAGAAATGTGAGTTGGGAGAAAAGAAGGTGAGTACGGAGTTTCCTAAAAACCCATAGACAGAAGTACGCCATGATCTGGCGGTCCCACTGCGGCACGAGCAGCAGAAGGAACGGAAATCCTTTCCTGCCCGTGAGCCCTGCCATGCTGCTCAATGGCCAGCCAAGGTCTCCATGGAGAAGTGAGTGGGCCAAGAGGGCAGTCCACCTTCACCGTGGAGTGCTGCTCGGCCGTAAAGACAACAGAATCCCGGCATCTGCAGCCCCGTGGGTGGGCCTGCAGCAGCACTGAGTAAACTCCCCTCTGAGCTCCCACATCCCAACTCCCAGGACCCCCTCCCCAGCCCTCACAGTGCTCGGACACTGACACTAAAATCCCAGTGCCATTTGGGATCGCCACAGAAACAAACAGGAGCTGCTTCCAAACAAGGAGGACCAAAGGGCTGCAAGGTCTGAGAACTCTACTGAAAAATAAAAATCACACACACACAAAACATTGCTGAAGGAAATTAAAGACCTGAACGAACGGAGCTACGGAGGGTAGCGATCGAGTGAAGGACTGCACATCGTTAGGGATCTGGTTCTTCCAAAATTGAGGTACAAACACGTGGGCCATCCTCCACTACTCCCCAGGAGTAGGAGCCCAGAGCTGGGCTAGACATGGAGTGATTGGGACACAAACCAGCACTCTGACAGGGAAGGGGTGCCTGCCACACATCAGGTTAAGCCACACTGTCCCAACACTGGCCCTGAGCCAGCATGCAAGGGTGAGCAAGAAAGGCAGGTGGACAAAGACACAGAGAGCCAGGAGCACAGGGCGAAGGCCAGTGTCCTGAGAGATGGGCATCGGGGCACACAGCAGAAAGGCAACAGGGAATGCCCTGCCTAGCAGGACCAGCCCCATTCGGATATCTCATGGAGGCAACCCGAATACATGAATGAATGAGTGAATGAATGAATGAATGAATGAAGGCCTTAGAAAAGCAACAAGGCCTCTTGGCATGAGCATAAGACCAGGTCAGTGTGCACAAGCACCACTGTGGTGGAGTCAGCCTGACACCCCATTGCCCCACCCCGCTCCTGCCACATGTGCCACCAGCAGATTCCAGTGTTAATTGCAGACAGATGAGCAGGCAGGTGCAAAGCAGGGAAGAAGATGATCAAAACAAGCAATGGATTAGAGGCAGGAGGTTGCACACCCGTCCCAGGCAGGGTCCCTCTTGGGACAAGGCCGAGGGACAGTGTGCTCTTCCAGCCTTAGCATAGCCCCACCAGCCTGGAGAACTCTGAGCCCTGGATATTGGCTGTGGCTCTGGCATCCAACAGACTGGCTCTCACCTCATTATGACGTTCCCAACTTGCAGCCAGTCTAGAGCTGAGGGTTTCCTTCCCGTCATTGATCTCCCAAGCCTTGAGCCTGGCCTATTCCCCTGCCTTCCTTTACATCCAGACATTCAACTTGCGTTTGCTGCAGGACTGCAATGCCTTGGTATTGGCCAAAGCTCTGGAATCGCAGGGGTGAATGACAATCTAACAAGCAGAAACTGCTGCCACATTTACTGGCCATTGCATCTGGTGCAAGGGCCCTAGCACCCCATACCTGGCATCCCCAGGGTTGAGGGTGTGGCAGGGGAGGCCCATGTCCCAGCTCTTTGCCCCATCTGCCTGGGAGTCAGGTCAACCCCACATGCTTTGTCACTCCAGCACAAGGGGGGGGGGTAGGGTTGCACCTGGCAATCCAGAAAGTGGAATGAGCAAGCTAGGGAACCCAGGCCTCGCATGGGGAACCCTGCGGACGAGAGCACAGATGGCGAGCTGCACAATTTCCTGTACAACATGTAATTAGGTTAGATCAGAAAGTGCCTAGTCTAAGTGCTATCAATGTCCAGGGTGAGCTGTTGCAAAAGTGCCGAGCGCTTTGACATCCG